AAAACCCAGAGCGGGCTCGCACCGCCCTCTCCTTGTCGTCGTTCCAAGCGCCTGCGTGCCTATAGTCGGTTGCAAGCTAAGAAAAAACCGGAAATGCCTCTCAGAGGAAAATGTAATCCTACGCCGAGAAACGCCAGCCAATCGTTTTCATGACGTCACGATTCCGTGGACCAATCGCGATCCTTTTGAAAAAAAAAAAAGAAAAAAAGCTCAACATGGCTGCTGGCCTTAGCAACGCGACGCTAGTTTCTCGTGACAATTATCCAGCTTTTTTGCAACGTGTTTTACGTGCCCGAGGTTACGCCACAAAATCTTAATGGTATCGGCTTGCGTTTGCAGCAGTTTTTGCGCGACAACGTGAGACTCCAGCGACGCTATCGCCAACGAAAATTTCGAAGCGGGCGCGAGGCTTAGCACTGCTGAGAGGTGACAAGCTACGCCGGACGTCGTCTGCTTCGTTGGATTGCGCTTCTTGAAGAACCGCTTTTGTGTCGCCGGTAAGGCTGCACCAGGCTGTTTCGTCCAAGAAGAATCAGGGGAATCGCTTTCCGATGTCACCTCAGTGGGATCCATGACGGAAGACAAAGAGAGCGGGGCGCGGTGGTGATGTCGATGACTTGGCAGGGTGCCGATTTTTCAAAACCCGAATAGTATAATTATTCTTGTTTTCTATTCATCCAACAAAATAAAGGCACACATTTCGTGCGCAAAGCCCACACAACTAGGTAAATCACTAAATATTTATTATTTGCAGGAACTATAAGGTGCTTCATTTTCCCCAACGGCTTTCCCTCAATCGAAGGCGCTGGAAGACGGTATGTTAGACAGTATCTTGGACAGAAAATGAATTGGGAAGACGGTACATTGGACATGACTTTCTTTCTTTACTAAACAGCTATTTCGTTGACAAAAACGTATTCTAACTTATTTAGATGTTCTGAATGAATTAAATAAATAATGTAGTAGTTGAAGACACGTTTCCTGGAGGAAGAAAAAGCAACGTTGCTGGCGAACTACTTTCTCGACGGCGGAGGCACTTCAGATGGGCGCAATGCGCCTGTGGGTGGAGCTAAAAGATTGTTCTCAGGTTGCATCCGACTACAGTTTCCTTTTCTTCCGCCGGGTGGCGGAAGCCTCCCGGCGGTAGCCTCCAACGACACAAAAAGGCTTGTTGCAGACACGAAAAGGAGACTGGAGGGCTGGTGGCAGAAGACCCACCTGAGTGAGCATTAATACACCTACGCTCCCAGGCTTGGGCACAAACCTTGTTTGAGTCCTCCCGATTCAAACGGAAATAGCCGCATCATCATCATCATCATCATCATCATTATCTAGTTTCCTGCGGCTCCCCGGGGCGGCGATAGTTGTCGACAATAGTGTGCGTACCGTTCGTCGCGATGACCACCGATCAAGACAACAAATGTGTTGGTACCTTTGTTTAAAATTCTGTCACGTCAGTGTCGTGTGCTAAACTGCTTCGCTTTTCATCCACCTTCGCAGAGTAGAATGGCTCGATTTTTTAGGCAAATAAAAAGAAGCGCGCAAAGTGTATCTTCTATAACAGGCTTGAGCTGAGCTAGTTGGTTCATACTTCAGGTAAGGCTAGCTGAACTATAAAAAACAAACGTATAAAGAAAAGTTCATACACATCGCTTCATTAGAGCACCTTCTCTCGCACTGTACGAGAAATAAAAAAATGTTCCTTCGGGGGTTAAATTTCCGGTGAATTAGGAAGCAAAAAAGAAGAAAAGAGAATATTTCCCTCAAGTGGGGCTCGTAGTAGAAGAGGAGGAAAAAGAAAATGACTTGTTAGTCCAGCGGTGTGTATGGCCTTTTCTTTATGTGTATGTTTTTTTCTAGTTCAGCTGGCCTTACCTGATGCATACATCGTCCAGGAAACACCTTAATTGGGTGTTTCTCAATGCGCTCTACAACTTTCCAATTCACACCTCGGCTCTTAAACGAATAATTAAAAATAGTTAATTAGTCTTAATTAACGAATTAACTAGGCACACTAAAAAAAATTGTGCACTTTGCCAAGACGCTTTTCAGCAATATACAGGTGGTTTCACTCTCGCAAAGCGCTCCGTTTTATTTATTATTTTTGTAAAGTATGGCGCAAGTTATCGGGGGACACCCTGTATAGACGCTTTCAGCGCGCGCCAAATCGAGCCGCCATAGCCGACCTTCTCTTGTCTTACCGAGATGCCGAGCCACTGAAGCGGGCGTTGACGAGTCTCCACAAGGGCCTATGCTGGGGAGAAGGACACAGTAACACTTCACATGGCAATAACCTGTCCTGCTGTGGTGATGATGAAGTGGAGCGAACGGAATAAGAGGGAAGAAAAACTGAAGGTCGGTTATGGCGGCGCCCATGCACCGCTGCCTGAAAGCGTCTATATATGTATACTCCAAAACAGATTTCCGTGGCTACGCAGTCAAAGCCAGCCAAAGCTATGGGTGCCCGGGCGCCCGAGCCCCTTGAGCGCCGACCAAAGCTGTGCACGCGCATACTTCACTTCTGCAATGCCTTACTATTTTATATTTAATTATTATAAAAAAAGAAGATTGCTACATATTGAAAGAAGTTAACAACAATAGACGCGCATACGCGGATTTTGGCTATCGCGCGCTCTGCTATGCATTTCCAGTCAACGATGAAGTGTTCTATACCGTGTTCCGTGAACAGGCTCCCTGCCTGATCAAACCTGACTGCGGCATCCTTCATTTTCGTTCTCGACTTTGAGCGACGACCAGCGCTGTTTATAAGGTGTCGCCGGGACCAGTAAAGATCTGGACTTCGAAGGACAGATATGGCCGGACGCAGGGCTTCAATACGATGGTCGGAGAACATTTCTGGCACGCGAACCATACCGCCGGTCACGTCTCGCCTTTCGAGCCGTCCACGGTCGTCGTTTCAGAGGGGAACCGGAATCGATTCTCCTGACATAATGGCAAGTCCTTTAGCTTAAAGCTTTGAAAGTCCTTTTTTTTTCTTCTAGTTCTGCACATTCGTTTTCACCTAAAAAACCGTAGTAAAAAAAAAATACCGACTTTTTGCGGAACGATACTTATTTCCTGTTTCATCTGCTAAATTAAGAGATATGTAGGTGCATCTTAGATTAGCTTTACGTTATTTTATCAAGACGCTCCAAACGCCAAAACCATCGTTTCTTCCTTCGACAACGACTTCGCGCAGGGCATGAGTAATGCGCAAAATGTCCTCCTCTTTTTTTTTTTTTTTTGGAGCGACAACAAGTATATAGACTATAGAGTAGAGTACACTTCGGTCATCATGGTGCTGAAAATCGTAGCTGTCACTTATATAAACTTTCTTTTTTTTATCGCAGGAAGTGCGCTTTTTATTTCTCTACAAAGTTTTAAACAACCCGCGACAGAAAAAAAGAAAAATGTATATTTATCGCCTGAGCTTCTTGTCGCCGCATCCAAAGTTCAGCAACTCGCATGTTCAAATGATAACTATCGCCAGCTACGCCCGCTCTGCACAAAGCACCAAAATGGTGGCGCCTACGAGATGATCGGGGAATTGAGTCCCAATACGTAGCTATATTTAGACTTTCCATTCTAAGCGAACGAACGCTTCTGCAAAACGTCTAGCCATACGAGGTATGTTGTCAACAACCATTTGCTACTGCCAGTTCTTATTTGGTCGGCCAAAATACCGATACCTTTTTCTTGTTTCTTTTGGTCGTCGGGGAAAAGAAAAGAGCTGTGTTTGTCGCTCCGTCAGGGGCCCTGAACTCGTCAGACACGAAGTTGGAGCCGAAAGTTGTTCAATCGGTGCGCTCCGTCAACTTCGGCCCCAACTTTGTGTTTGACGACTTTAGGACCGCAGTGGCTCTAAACTCATCAAACACAGGGTTGATGCCGAAGTTCACGGAGCGAATTGGTTGGATTATCCCGACGATGACTTGGCGCTTTCTTCGCCGGCGTCCAATCGGCGCGGTCCGCGAACCCTCGCCTCCAACTTTCTGTTTGACGAGTTTAGGGCCCCAGGGGCCCTAAACTCGTCAAACACAAAGTTGCAGCCGAAAGTTCACAGAGCGCGCTGATTGGACGTTGGCGAAAAAAGCGTGAAGTCATCGTCATGATAGACCAATCGGTGTGCTCTGTCAACTTCGGCCCCAACTTTGTGTTTGACGAGTTTAGGGACCCAGGAGTAGATTATTTTGAAGCAGCAATCGAATACACTTCCATACTTGGTTTCAGTTCATGTCTAGGGGACGCAGCCGACGCTACGAGCTAACGTGACCAATCAAGCAACGTCGAAAGTGCAAGTCACTGGGTCTTTTCTGTTTATGATTGGTTCAGCAAGAACACGTACAGAAACACGACGAATACCATGATGGTGCGCTTTTGATGCCGTCTGATTGGTCCCATTAGATTATAGCGCACTTCAAACGAAGTATGTCTTTTATTTCGTAAAGGAGGCGGCACACAACGTTGACGAGCACGTCTACAAGGGATTCTCTAAGCTTCCACGTTCGCAGGCGACGTGTCGGTGAAAGGCTTCTGTAGGCCAAACTGCTTCATTTTCTATAGAACCGCACGTCAGCTTCATTATCTTTTAGGGATATTTTTGGACATGCATTTAGGTCTGTTTTAATCTTATATAAGAATATAACGAATGTACATGAATGCATTACCCGATTAGTGATTGCTTGTTGAAATTGCATTATAGGGCACTTCAGTTTACTCGTGTCCTTAAATCAGAGCTTAACAAAACACAACTTACTTTTCAAGTTCTTCAACAGTAAACTTATTACTTGAACTGCTCTCACATGATATGATAAAGTGTTGCACCGAGATTTCTTCACTCTGAGACTCGAAATCCGCATTGTCTTTTATGGTTCGTTTTGCACCCTTACATATATGTCGTTGCGCCAAGAACAAAACAATCACATGATTTAAATACTATGTATACAGAAAAAAAAACTGTGTTTATGATAGCTTTTTATGGGCAAATCACTGGTGCACAGGACAGCCGGACTGAACAACGCCTGCGAACAATGATGAAGAACCAGCTGAAAGCTTTCCTCTTACCGTCGAGACCGACTGAGCGATACGAGTTGTTCTTGGGCGGTGAGGAATTCTTCATTTCTCCAGAAACGGACCGGCCTCACAAGAACAAAGCAACAACCAGCAAATGGATGATTCACCCTTCGGGAACTTTCAGGTGAGCATCGGCCTTACAATTTCATTCGCCGTGCACAATGCATGCACTGTTATCACAACCAAACAATAGGGCCTTTTAGTAGATGGTTTCGATAGCCCCGATTACGGTAGCGGATACTCCGCCGGCTCCCTTGCGCATGCATCTTATTGTTATCTGGTATGGTTACCGAAGCACAAAAACGATCTTCTAAAACTTCTTAATAATGCCCTTAAATGTAGGTTGTTGTTTTTTTGTTGTTGTTTTTTTTTTTTTTGTGGAGACCGGAGCGTAGGGGCACTTTTTGAGCCGGGTATCCCTAAAGCCCCCTCATGTTTTGAAAGTAGCGCAAGGTGCGTCGATATAGACCTTTGCAAAAATCGCCTTTTGCGCGCTGCCATTCTTGTCTTCTGGACTGTGGAGCGCCTTCTGAGCATGCGCTGTTTCTCCGCTGTATGGTATATTAGACGCTGCGCATGCGTCCACGGCTCAGTGACTCGGCATTTTTCGCCCGGGTGATAAGCGATGCAAAGGCCTATACGAGACACGTGCAACGTGCAGCTTTTGGGAAGATCATGGCGGCACAGCGCAGCTTTGAGCTAGATTTCAGAAGCCATGTTCTTCCCAGGTGTGGCGCGCGGCACGTGTCTTGAGCATTTTCACAACAATAAATGGAGCCATTTTTTCCCAGGATAGAGGGGCTTTAGGTATCCCCAGTCCGTTAGAAAAACTTCAATAATAAACAGTGGTGACTTTAGTAACACAAACGTTCCGGAAAGAGTATTTTCTTCTTCAAGTTTGTACAAGCTACAGTTGTAGAACGTTTTTTTTTTTATTTTTATTTTTATCATCAGGGTGTCAAAGACAAAACAAAGAGAGAGAAAGAGAGAGAGAGAAGAGAAATACAAGGAGAAAAAACAACCAAGTCAAAATGGGCAGTACGCGCAAGCGTGTTGGAACAAGAGTAAAAAAGCACGAGTGAAAATACACAAAACGCATACAAAGAAGAAACAGTAACTTAAACACAACTCTCACTAAACGGTTTGATTCGAGACGATCAAAACAGCAGCATACGCTTTATTAATTACACTTGATGTTATTAAAGACGTAATATGGCACAATACCAAAGATGAAGAGTAGATAGAAAAAGGTAATATCAAAAGTGATTGCTTTTTGTTTTCTCTTGAAAGCGCCTTTTAGGATTGAATATACCCAAGCATGGGGGCTCTTTTTGCGGGTTCTACTTCATTTGATAAGCGATTCTAAAGATTTCACATTCTAACGAAATAGAGCGCTGCACGACTTCTACTTGGGTTTTCAAGACAGCGTGAATACACTTTCTTAGCAGACGGATTGACCGATCAATGCGGCTCTGTGGTGCAACTGGTCTTAGCGTTTAATAAAACGCAAAAAGACAGAGTGTTCATTATATTAGCCTGAAATGATAAATAAGTGGCAGCTTCCGTTGAATTCATAACGAGCGGTACTTTCAACAAAGTTCTGGATAAGTTGAAATATCTCAATACTTGCCCCCTGCTCTTCCCTGGGCTTACATAAGATGTTACGGTAGCGCGTGCCAAACCCTTGGCGGACAGTACGACGAATATTGTAAGTGCTCTAGTTGATAATCGCTGCATTCCGAACTTGTGATGCGTTTTTGATCCTACCCCTTACTAACGTCGTTCGGAGACCTACATCAGGTGACCTGAAAACCCAATATACACGAGGATGGTGTTTCCACTTCTCCCGATATGCGCGACACACGCCTTATTGCAGAATTAAGTAAATTTCGTACACCGATTCCCAAAGACGTTTACGTTTTTGACGGCATACCTAAAATTTTTTCTCCAATTTTATGGTCATACGCAATTCTCCTATCCCGTCCAGGCGCGGTGGGGATCACAACCACGCGAGAGGCATAAGCTGAAAGTTAATCGGAGGGGACTGTCCCACATCCCCTGCCTTGAGTCCACAGATCCATGGTGTTACTGACATTACGGAAATTTTGCCACTTGACTGCTTAAATAATTTTCACACTAATATATAAAAACTGCATGACGACACGTGCTACGAAGTTCCAATCAAAACGTACCAGCTAAACAAAAAATGGTACAGAAGTTAATTAGCGAGTTTTAGTTAATGAAGCTACTTATTGTTTTTGTATACTCGTGCCCATGTGTCTGCCGCGTTCGACAACTTTATTCTGCGGGAATAATATCTTTATTTCCAGTGCCCTTTTTGCTTAAAACATTTGCCATCTTAGAAAAAAAAACTTTGTTTGCTTTTTACTATTCGGCGAAGCAAGGTATAGCTAACTTTAGGCTTGCTCAGACACTTGCGACCGCTTAGGACCGTGTGCCTTAAAACCTCTTCAAATTTCTTACGACAAAGGAACACAGCGACGTCATCTATCCGGCCGAACTCTTTACATTTTTTATATCTTTTTCTCGCAGCACTATTTTTTTCTTAACTTGAAAACATTTGTAACTATGTTATGAACCAGGGGTCTCCAAACGTTATGGCTAGAGAGCCGGAAATGGAACATGTTGCACTGTCGAGGGCCGGAAATTATAGAAGACAATATAGAGGAGGAAATACAAAATAAATAAGCCTAAATAAGCATTTAAATACATATATTTACACTAGCGCAAAGATGAAAAAAAATAAAGTGGACACACACATGCACTTTATTTTTGAGTGCAATATTTCACTATTTATGGCACTACAAAATAATTGTTACCCCGAGAACTCACCGGACATAAATCAAAGCGCGTAGGAACTTGGACATATTCAAAGAGGGCAGGATACTAATGAAAATGATAGATCACATCAGATCACTCCGCACGATGTTTATGAGAACGCAAAGAAATTTTTTTTCTTAGTTACGCAGACATGAAGCAGGGAACTGCGAATAATAATTCTGGTGATGACAACGTGCAGTAAATAATATTGGAAATGAACCGGCGTCTTGGTATAATTTTCTAGACATATGTGAATAGTGGATTTTGAGCACGAAGCAAATTCGAAGTGAATAGTGCTTTTGGCCGAATGTTTTTGAATCGATCGAATATCGAATAGTTTCGCCAAGCTTTTTACTACTGCACAATGCAGTGCACCAGGGCTCTTTTCCACGCACCGGTGCACAGTTTTATTGCTACACCATGCAGTGCACCGGTGCACGGTAAGAAGCGCGCTCAACGGGGCTAACCCGCCACGGTCTAGAATTCAAAAAATACGAATATCAGAATAAATCTCGAAACGAATATTGAATAGCGTATTATTCGAAACTACTATTCGAAAATTAGAATATTCGCACAACACCACAGTTTTCTCTCATTTTTTCTGACAGCTTCGTTTACTCTTTTGATGCGTGTCGCAGTGCCTATTTTCTTTTTTTGCAAGCGCTTAGTTATTTTGCATTGGTTGCAGCGGGCCGCGGGCAGGGCGTCATTGAAAAGATCGCGGCCGTCCGCGGGCTAGGGTTTGGAGACACCTGTTATAAACGACCATTTCTGATAGATAATGCATACATTTGATCTCGCCAATACCACAAAACCTTCGCTCTAGTGAAATGCAGTCTCAGGGTCACTTTATCGATGGCGCCAGCCAGTCAATGTGTCCTCTCGTCGTAAGGAATCACAAGAATTCGGTCGTAAGCAAACGCAAGCCTGTGCTGTATGACAAAACTGATTGGTTATATTCGGGTCACAACTTCCAGGGGCCTTTGGGATATGTGCATGCTGATTCTCGTGTTGTCTACAGCCATCATAACTCCCCTCAGAATTGCTTACTTCGAAGAAATTGAAGACAAAGCGTCAGTGTGGGCCTATTTCAGCCTCGTATCCGACTGCATCTGCCTTGTTGACATCATCTTTAACTTCAGGACCGGTGAGTAGATCACTTGTGCCATCATTGAGAAACGTTCATAAAACGCCATGCGTAACTGCAAGCATCCGGCCCTTTTGTAATTGAGCTAGACATTGGTTAGTTTTGCTTAACGTCCTCTATGTTTTTATTTTATATGTAAACTTGAGTGGCTTTGGAGCGTAGCTTACAAATGTGGCTTACCGCGAGAACAAGTGTCTGAACACATCATTACTTGATGACTAGATACCGCTGCAACTCAAGAAGGTAGGGCGAGGGGAAGGAAGGCCGTGGAGGAAGAAGCAGACGGAACGCTTGAGAGAGGAGGAGGTATGCCCCTCTCCTCTCCAGTTTTCCGTCTGCTTCCACCTTCCCGGCCTTCCTTTCCCTCGCACTACCTTCTTGAGTTGAAAAGGACTATACTGCTAAATTTACTTTTCAGGCGTCATTTTGAAGCACGACTATAACCGTGTCATCATGGACCCCACCTTCGTGTACAAGCGATACAAGCGTGGTTGGTTCTACGTCGACCTCGTCTCCAGCCTCCCGTTCAACGACGTATTCGTGCTCATCTTCTGGAAGAAGGGAGACAAATCCGACGCCTTATCGGTTGTGAGATTCATGCACTTCACCAAGGCCTTGACGGTGATCAAGCTCCTTAGACTCTCGAGAATGGTCAGGTACCTCGCTCACATGGAAGAAAACTTCGTGAGTATGTACAACCAACCTCATGAGAGGAGAATTGAAGAGTATAGGGTACTATACTTTTCAATTATAATTCTCATGAGAGTAGAACAGAAAAGTACAGGGTGCTATTATATAATAGCACCCTGTACTAGTCAGATACAAATAAGAATGCGCCAGAGGCTCCTTCCCGCAGCTTTATCACCGCCAGCCAGTGTTCCTCCACGATGCGCGAAAAGTTCAGGCGCACGTCGCGCTGACAACATATAGCTCGTCATGGCTATTGCCTCTCCTGATTGGTCCGCGAAACAATTCCATGCCGTGGCTGGTGCTTGGTGGTGTTTATTTGGCGCGTTCTTTCGTTAGGTCTGAATATATATAGTCCTACGAACACTGAGCAGCAACGGTTGCAGAACGGCCGAACGCGCATCACGTGTTCAGCAGGGACGTTCTCTTGTTGTGGTGTCGGCACTCCAGACGAATGTCTGAGCTCTTGTGGTATATCTTGGTATGACTAAGGATAAAGTCATTTAATATGTCGCAGAAAATTGCTTGTCTTTCGTCACAGATTAATCGATGCCACCTTGATTAACCCGATTTAATTCTCTCGTCCTAATGATGACACATTCAGGAACTCGAGAAACACCAGGCGAGGTGTGTGTGGACAATTTGAATGTCGATAAGAGACAAAGAGTTAAGTGTTATACGTTTTGCAGCTGAATGTACTGGGACTTCCATCTGTTTTGGGTTGAACGCTGCTACGTGCGTTGCCGCAGGAAACTGAGCAGTATCGTTTTCGCCCCAGTTTTTCTACTCTACGGGGGCCTACCTGCGAGTTCTCAACAACATTGGACTGCTGCTGCTGTTCGGCCACTGGCACGGTTGCCTACAATTTCTCGTGCCCCGCATGCAGAACTTTCCAGACTCTTCCTGGGTCATCCTCCAGGACATCCTAGTGAGACAATATTGCGGTTAAGAGGATCTCTGTTTTTGTTCCTTTCTATAGTGCAACGGGGTTGTCTGGATATTTGCGAGCCTTAAAAACAATAGAATAATTATGGGCTTCTGGCAACACTTCAACTGAAAAAGAGAAAGTACTGTTTGAGCGGGGCGAAATGTGTTAGCATATTTATTTTTTTAACGGTGAACTGCATAAAACAGACAAACATATACACAAGCTAAAAAAATGCAAGGCCAAGGCACAATACAAACAAAGCAAGCAGACAAGATAACAGTACTTTAAGGGTCATATAGGTATTCCGATGACGTTCATAACGTAAAGGAAAGAACAAAGAACACGATCGCTTTACGTTGGTACTTTCCGCGTTTTAGCATACGGTTTCTCGGTTGGTGGGTTTGCAATCGTACTGTGATGTACGGAATTTGATGAATTCTACATATGAAATTAACGGCTTTTCCGTTGAGTTGAACGATTATGTTATAGAAATTTTTCGCTTCTTTTCGTCTCAAGCTACGTAACTAACAAATTCGGTATAAAAAATTAAAAAAAAAAATCAAGACGTTTTGATTTGCATCAAGTAAGATAATATAAAAAAATGCAAAACAGGATTGATAGACAGTCGTGATTAGAACGCGAGCTTCTCCCAGTTGTGTGGTAAAAGAAAACCGATGTTTTCCCGCATACCGGATGTGCCGCAAGTCAAGACGGCGGCGTCCGCGCACAAAAAGTCTATGGGAGTGTCTACATCCACGCGCGGGGATGTAGCCACGTCGGGAGGAGATAAGGCTCCATCCACGCACTACGTCACTTCCGGCGCCCACGTCACTGTTTTGCGAGGACGGAAGCAGTTCTTTTTCCGTCTTCTCCGTCCACGCAGCAATCAACCTACGGTCTTGTCTCCCATTGTTTTGCCTTGTGCTCGGTGGCCATTGCTCCTTGCGTTCCTGCCGTGCGCGGACTGCTGTTCCTGCATGGTCTTCCCCAAGCGGGTTTATCTGAAGTGTTGCTTTTATATTTCTTTTTATTGTTTTCTTGGTCAAGAAAACTTTGTGTATTCACACGGTCGCGCTTCTGATATGCCTCCAGTTTTGGTTGCCGGGGATTCGATGGTCAAATACTGGTCCCAGTATTTCACATCGAATAACCGGGTGGCTGTCGAAGTGCGGGTGTTTAGTAACATTAGGATCAAGGCTCTGCCTCTCAAAGTGTCTGACGCCCTGCTCGATTTTTGGCACAAACAACACCAGCGTTTGTGCCAGCGCGTACGTTGACAAGTACCGTCGGCTGGCCGCTCAGATCGTGGAACGCAATCCGACGACGTAGATCGCTTTTTCTTCCGAGTTGGGAGAACAGGTTCTTTTCGGTTGTAGTGTCAGCGTAGGCAGAGTGCAGTGATCCAGGCGTAGAATGATCGGCACAGAGAAGTGAACTGGCTCCTGCAGGAGTTCTGCCGCAAGAAGGGCTTCGTGTTCATCGGTGATCTCGTGGACGAGTGGCATCTGTGCATCGGCTACTGTTTTATTTGTCATGAAATAAACTGTTTCTGGAATCTTTTACCCAGTTTTCTCGAAGGAATGCTCTCAATAGGTTTGTTATTACTGAGTCTAATGCATGCTTTCCCTTCTCGCACAATCTTTGGGAGATAGCGAGCGTGCGCGCAAGTCAAGAACATACGAAGCGTGCGCTCGCACTTGTCCCCTTCGATGCACATAAGTTCACACTACAACGCCTTAAACGTGTGGGCAGCGATGTGCACATGGGCGAAGGCCCCAGAGGCCGCAGCCGCGCCAAGCCAACCAAGCCCACACCACATTGCTGCAGGCTGCACGCCCACACGCACGGATGGCACGCGCGCTGCCCACACGTGTGTGTGACTCCTGGACAACGTAAATATAAAGACATCTACGGATACTATTTTTATGACGCATGATATTTCCTATCTGTGTTAGAAAACAGTGAAACATTGATAAATTGTCTAAGAATTTGTAAGGTCACGTGATATATTAACTTTAAAACAACAATAAAATGTAACCTATTTATTTCTAGATCCTATATTTACTTGTAAGAAAGCATAATATGTATATAAAAACAAATTATGTCCTTAAATTATAAGTCACGTGACTTTTTGCGTCGATGGAGCCTTATCTCCTCCCGACTTGGCTACGTCCCCGCGCGTGGATGTAGCCTCGGCCAAAGTCTATATGAGCGTCCAATTTCGCTGGGTCCGTCGGTAGGATGGCCGACCGCTGCGGTTTTCCAGGAGTACGATCCATATATCAAGCCACGCAATTTTGTGCACTTAGCGCACGTGTTGAGTCTTACGTGCAATTCGGTCAAGTCGACTGTGTGGCCGAACTCTCATACGCGCATGTTTTTTACACCTTTCTTTTTATCGGCGATGTACCGAATTGGGACTGCCCTTGAATGAGAAAAAGCCCAGGCTTCAGAGGCAGATAATCTTCATGTAAAGCTTTCCTTCGTGTTGACACAAAACAAAGCCCCGCCCCCCCTCCTCGTCCATACATGATACAAAAAGCTGTCTGAGGCATGGTGCTTCCTTGCGTGATGGGGTGCTGTCACATGGGCCATGAAAAAACTCTCTGCAAATATATTCGAAGCACACACAAAGCTCACCTGCTTCGAATAAGCTCGAAGCATGACCACGCTGATTATTCTGTCACCATGTCTTCAGCGATGTGCTAGGAGCAGTGTGATTGTGGCCTAACGATGACGCAACCATTGCTACCTCCGCGCAGAACAGGACGTGGCTGGAGCAGTACACGTGGTCCGTGTACCGGTCCGTGCCCCAGATGTTGGGCTCGGGCGTTGGCCGCGCCGAGGCCGAGAACACCAGCGACTCCTGGCTCATGATCTTGTGCATGGCCTCTGGACACGCGCTGCAAGCGCTCCTCATCGGCCTCTGCTGCAGCGTCATCCTCTCCGTGAACTACACCAAGCAACTCAACAGGGAGAAGGTGTTGTATGCATTTCCCGCGCTTCTCACCCAGTCGAAAAAAATGCCGAGTCACTCAGCCATAGGCACATGCATAGACCCGTTCACACACTTGCGTTTGCGTACGACCGATGACCATGTGATCTCTTACGACGAGGGCACGCTGCAGCACGCCGGCGCCATCTACGAGGTGACCCTGGAATTGCATTTCACGAGCAGCACTCCTGGTTGTTTCATAAACTTGCGACCGCTGTTTTGTTTCGTTGCGTCGGCCGAGCGTTGCGTCAGAAACGCGAACAAATAATTTATGGATTGAAGCCGAAGCGAGCGTGTACGCTGGTAACCCAGGAATAAGGGTAGAACACGTAACTCCAAACGCAGCTCAAATTGTATTACACCAGGACGTCGGCCCGACCAGCCGAAGCACACACTTTGGCAAGGTGCGATAGAATTTTAGCTGCATTTGGAGCTCTGTGTTTGTCCGTCCCTTCGCGCTTTTTTCGCTCCAGGGTTACTATGTTAATTTACTTATGTTGCTTTTGTCCCCATGGACGTAATTCTCTGCTTAGCCGCTAGTTCGCCACGGTCGGATGTCCTCACTAGAGAGCCTTTTTAAGAGATGGAGCAACTGAAACCGTAGAAAGCGTTTGCAATTTAATGGCGGACGCCTCCTGGATGGATTGGTCTCTAGTACGCATGCGTTGCGCAGTTGCGTGAAGAGAAGGGAAATGGGCGGAAAGACAGAGACGCTTGCAGACGACCAACAATGTTGTCTCTTTGGAAACACTCTCTAATCTAGGCACACTAGTCCGTCACCAATAGCGCGTCTGGTCGGGAAAGCGCTGATCGCCCATCGTCTTCTGCGCAGATCAGAGAGGTCGAGGAGTACATGCATTACCAGAAGCTTCCTAAGGAACTGCAGTCTCGGATCCGGGATTATTTCGAGAACCGCCACCAAGGGCGGGTCTTCGACGAGGCGCGCATTCTGGCCGCGCTGTCGGATCCTCTCCGAGAGGTAATTGGACACCAACAAGAGCTTGCACTATCTTGTGTCAGGGGGGGGGGGGGGGGGGGGGGGTGGCTAAAGAGAGGAGCAGAACGCGGCAAATTGTAAGCGCTCCGAGAGAAAGACCGAGAAAGAGAGCGACAGAAAAGAAAAAGAAAGCAAACCATGGTTACGCGTGTTGGTTTGGCGAGACAGCTTGAACTTGTTCGAGTGCTTGTCAAATTTATTTATGTTTATACATTGCACTTTCGGATATCAAAGCGTCCCATCAAAGGCACCGATGACCGCGACTGCGCACCACCCTCTCGAAGGGACCGAAATGCGTCCGACCTTTACCCCTAGATTATCAGATGTACACCTTTTTCCAAAAGTACATGGAGCAACACTGGTGGCCATCATATTGAAAGCATATGCGCAAAGCGTTTGATTGGATTCAAGTTCATGCCGAGCGCTGACTGCAGGACTCGTGTCCAATGCATACTCAGAGTGCGTGGCCAAATATGGCGGCCTCAGAGGAGCAGCTAGTGGATGGGACGTACCTTGGAAAAAGGTTCTACAGGCTGACCCTTAACATCACGACTGTAGTCAAACCTGCTGTTTTGTCGCCTAGGAAGCAGCTGTTTTAATATGAGATGTTGAGTCAATATCTTTGAAGAAAGATCAATAAGGTCGTGGAAACATATGCTTAGCGTGGCTTCTTTACTGTCATTTTCTGGAGATTTGTACATTGCGAGATCGTACCGGCGCCTTTTTGCGTAATATAATTTCAGGTTAGTGTGGGACGCCGAAATAGTCAACCCGAGAAATCATATTTGAAATACCTGAGAAAACGGAAAGAAACGTCGTGCTGCAAGGTGTTCTTTAGCCCCCTCACGCAGTTTAAACAATTTATGTTAACGATCGTCAAGATAGCCGCCACGAGGAATCTCACTGCTCGGTGGGAACTACGCTTGACTGCCGTAGCTATGCTATTGTTATCTTTTGTATCATGGAAGTCAACAGAACTTAAATAATAATAAAATTACTTACGCAATGTTCAGCGTCGTCTTTGTTTTGGCTTTGGCTTTGGTCAACAGAAATGCAATAACCAGACAACTGTTCGTGCTGTTGTCGGCGTCGCCTTCGAGTAGCTTTTGGTCTTGAACAGAGCAAATGTTTCAGGCCATGCATGGCAGGAATTCATCGGGAAAGACGAACTGTCTGAGAAAACAAGCTGTATGTATAGCTTTCATATTGGAAAGACAACTCCTGTCACCAGAATTTGTCATAGCGCCGAAAAGTTAAAACAATAGCCGGGGTTGTTTGCTAAATACTTAAACTGAGATTCAGATATCTGCCCCTGTAAAATAAACCTACATTTTTTAGGAAACTTGGTTCTTTTTTCTTGTTTTTTTGCTATATATATTAATTGAGCAACAAAAAGCAGAGTTTTTCCCGAGGAAGTTGTAACAGTAACATAAAGATACGACTAGATCGGGGACATAGGTTTAAAAACATTATGGTGTATAAGGACAGGATACTGGAGTGTGAGAGCTCTTCCTGCAGTCTCAAGAAAGAAGACTTGGGTGTGCAGTGAAAATTAAAAAAAAAAAGACGGTCGAAGAGACATGCTCAGTACTGCAAGGTCACCATAATGGCAACTGATGGGACGTCAGTGCAAGCTATCTATAAGGTTATTATTTGTGCCAAAACCACCAGGCGGTAATGCAGCAGAGATTCAGCAGCGTGCTCCAGGTAGTGCCGTTCCTGGCCCACTCTCATATGGACTTCATCGAGGACTTGGCGGGCAAGCTGAGTCACGAGTTCTTCCTGCCTCGGGACGTGATCGTGAAGCAAGGCACAGTGGGCACCAAGACGTACTTCCTCCAGTCGGGAGAAGCCAGGATTACCACGGACGACGGCGTGGCCATTGCAACCGCTGGACCAGGAGATCACTTTGGAGGCACGCGTATTATATTTAACGAGATTTGCTGTTGGGCTAGTTGGAGCGCGATTTTCTGGACACGTCTAAGCGCAAATAGGGACGGACACGAATAAGAGGACATCGGGCAAGGGCTTGTTCATGTTGGTGTTCGTCTCTCTTTGCTCTTATAGTTTCCTGAACAGGCGTATTATACTTCGAGTACCCCACGTTCTCGGAGAAGGGGTAGTAGTTTCAAGTTAAATACATAACAAATGAGACGTAGATTAGACGGTGCCGCTAATTTCGGACGTTAGACCGCAGGCTTTAGCTCACAATCAGGGTTCTGGTCGCCAAAGCACATTGCGGGTGCGTATTGCGCAGAAAACTCGACGGTCAATAGACCGACCTCACCAAGCGTTCGGCGCATGCGTGACGCCGCCATAACTTTAGTTCGCAGGAGGCAGGCAGCAGTGCACAAGACGGCTCGTGCCGCCTTATGCTCCACACGCGCAGAGCTTCAGCGAGGTTGTCGCACGTGCAGGGAGACTAAAGTTACCACGATACATTGCGGCAGCGGTGGCGTAGTCAAACTGGCTGGTGAGATCGATCTATAGCTTGTCAATTTGCGCACGCATCACCGAACTTGCTGTTCGTGTGTGTGCTTGAGAGAGACACTAGAAATTTTTAGTAGATCGTGCGTTAGAGCTTTGCTAGCGCGGGAGCTCGTTCCGTCTGGTTCCGTCACATCGAAGCACGATTTGAGCACGCGCCCGCTGAGCCCGCTCTCCACCAGCGTACGGTCTACTAAAACTCTCTACTAAACGCCTTATTTGCACTAAAAGATTTGTGCTCGGTCTTCATGTTTCACAACTTCTCTCGCCCATGTCTTTGACATGCTGAAAGAGGAGCGACCAGAGGATTACTTCGGTCCAGGCGGGGCGAGTGGCCCACATCTCGCTCCCAGGATGGCTAGGTTGGACGTTTAGATGTATACGTTTTAAAAGGTCACGGAAGTTACTTAGAGGTGTCTGATTGGTGGAGGCAATTGGCTCCACCAATCAGGCGCCATTACGTCAATTCCGTGAGCTTTTAAAACGCACACTCGGTATCAAACCTGTCTATAGACCTTTTCCACATGGGCTCAGCCCTTGAATATCGTCACTTCTGGTATGCGGTAAAACATCGTTTTTGATCTCACCACGCCGCTGGAAGGTGTTTACGAAAAAATTCGCGATTTCCACGCATTATTGTTTTGCCTCACCTATATTTTCTCGCCTATTCCAGGTTGAAATTTTTATTACTTTTTCGTCCCGAACCAGACACGGAACCTACGTGATTGAGAACGGCAGGAAGCATAAAACGTCCATAGAGCGTGGGAGCGGTGCGCTCCGGTTTGCGCGTGCGACATCTGCAGGCGGACGCTGGGCCCGAGATAGCGCGCCTTTGCACATGCGCCGCCATTTCGAGACTTTTTTTTCTTCTTCCTTTTCGCTCATCTTTTTCTTTTTTTTTTTTTTAATTCTTGCTTAAAATTAAAGCTAACCGAATTCAACTATTTTCTTGAAAATCCAAGCTTCTTGTGACACGATTAAAAGATTAATTCAGACATCAAATATTTCAAATGATAGCGTCATAGTGAACTTGGTGCTGCTTGCAAGTGTTCGACTCACGTTCATTACCGCGGAATCATCCGCCGCAGTTGTGCTCTCACTGTGAAAGCAGTTTATCGAATGTGCAGAGGATAACAAGCACTTGCATTGGTAGCGGTGCAGAATCATCACACGCAAACAAGAAAATGCGTAGATTCCCGCGCGCACCATGAGCGGTTTTGCGCGCGTGCGGAAGCAAGTGCTCGAGTGCAGCGGTTCAATTCGTTTCAGAACGACGCGCGATAACGCGTGGAGCCGGCGTCGCGTGGGCCGTCACATCGAGCACCTTTATTTCGCAGCCTGGAGCATCTGGCGACCGGTGGAGCCTGCAGGAGGTTCGGCGCAAATGTTGGCACCTGCCCAGCACTGCACGATGGCGGCGCATGCCCGGAAGCGCGCTATCTCGGGCCCAGCGTCCGCCGGCAGATGTCGCACGCGCAGTTCGGAGTGCAACGCTCCCGTGCTCTAGACAGGCCTGATGCCAAGTGCAGACGTAAATCTCCAACTTAGCCATCCAGCTCCCGTGCTTGAAGTGTGTCTGCAATTGTTTCTAGTGTTGATCGTGTTCTGTCTATTACCTTGGGGCAGTTCCAAAGCTGATGGGCATCACTTGGGTACAGGCTGCAGGTACTGCATCATGAAGTGTCTCTCGCTCTGCTAAGGTAGTGTTTGAAATGTTCGGTCCGCGGCTTGCGCACTGTTCGGGTGTGCGCAGTTTTGCACACGTTTAAAAAGTATTAAATTAGACTACTCGGTTACTCCAAAAAAAATTATTGACCGTTACCCGAAAAAAAAAAAAGTAACCGTTACTTTTCCCTGTATTTCCGACTTCTTTTCTATACGACAGATTTTTTCTGCCGATTAGGGTCACCTAGTTATAAACTACTTATTTGAATTCACCAATTTTGGTAAACTGTCCTCCGGTCGCATTAGAGGATTCCTTCGTAGGAAACTCGTAGAAACAAAGTAGCGGTTACAAGTAATTTTTGTACTTCCAAAAGTATCCGGATAACACTCGCGCTTGCTTCCTAATAAATGTACTCAAGTAAGAGTAATCGAAGATAAGTAATTTGATTACATGTAATGGGTGCCGGACAAGTCTGGCTGCGAATAATCGGGACAAATGACTACTCAGGCAGGAGCTGGCTTATTGATAAATCCACCCACTAATCGGGTGTATTGGGAAGCCGATGGCGGTCTATTCATGCGCGTCCTTATTTTTCCCCCTTCAGAGTGCTGCCTGCTGATACGGGCGAAGGCGAATGCCAACGTGATCGCCATCAGCCACTGCACGCTGTTCTCCCTCTCGGTGGACGATTTCAACGAAGTCCTCGACAAACACCCGTCGATGAAGAAAGTTGTGAAAATCATAGGCGCCGAACACACGGCATACTCTGGCACTACTGGATTACTGCCAGTGGTGCGGATTCGACCTGCTTCTCACAAAGAAAAATGATGATAGCATTGAATTATAGACTTTTCCTCCCTTTCCCATTTCGTGGTATAACGAGTTCGATGAACTTAATTCTGTTCGATGAAACAGCGCTCAATAAAGGTTCGCTTAGTGCATCGATGAAAGAGCTTTAGACGAAACTTCCCAGGCTCGCACACTTTTCGAGCCCATGGCGAAGTGCCACGACTTCGCGACTGGACGTCATATTTGAGGGCGCTGTCTAGAGCGCATGCTCAGAACGAGTCCACATTATTAGGCTGCGAAGACTGGCAGTCTTGATGGTGCAGAATGCATGCTACGAAAGAACTGTGGAAGCTCGCCGACAGCACGCGCTCCAGTGGCGTACCAACTTGTTTTTGAGTGGGGGGGGCAAACCAGACCCTCTCTCTCTCCCCCCCCCCCCCCCAAATCGAAAATTCGGCGCAACTTTTGTCCAACTTTTCTAAAGATTTGGCAATGATTCGGCAAAATTACAACGTTACCAGACTTAACATTCATATTTTGTTTTTTCTCACGAAAAAAATTTTGCTTCTTCTTCTTAAAATAAATACAACTTGTAGTGCCTATTGAAAGAGTTATGACTAAATAAGGTGATATTCTAGAAGATAATTGTATCGATGTCGCTTTTGTGTGTTTACTTGTAATTTTGGTGTATGCTTCCAGAAAGTGGCGTGACAACGAGGTTGGGTAGTAGCCGGCACAGTCACGAATCACACTACGAGAGCTTTGATTTTGAGGCTTCATCAGCGCACGCCTGCAAGTGTGTTTACATTGTTAAAATAAAGGCAATCACTGCGTTCTTACTTTCTCTGGTAGTCGCCGTTTCGTGCGCGAAAACGGATGCAACGGTTGCTGAGCCTTCACCAGAAGAGATAACAATATTGTAAATATGCATGTTTTCCGATTTGAGTCACTTGACGTCAGCTTAGGATGAAAGTGCGCGTTCCATATTCGCAGCGTGCCGTTTTTAACCTTTAAAATTCCGGTTTCTGGTGTTCGGACACACACGGACGTTTAGGAAGATGGGGAGAGTTAGGAATGGTCGGATGTGCAACGTCGACCATGATAGTTCTGTGTTTAACGAATATTTTTCATCAGTGTTTACTAACGAGTGCTTGGACTCCGTCCCCACTCTCCCTGAAGAGCTTTACGAGCGCATGCATCCTATTAACGTTAACTCCGCCGGTATTATAACATTGATTGATAAACTAAAACTTACTTCGTCCGCTGGAACCGATAACATCAACTCTAAAATTTAAAAGAAACACCAGTGTTATTTCGAGTGAGTATTTAAAACTTATCTTTATTCAGTCCTTATCTCAAAGGTGCCTTCCATCTGACCGAAAGGTGGGAAGGGTAATTCCCAGTCTTTTACATTTACATTACATTTATATTCTAGTAATTCGTAGTTTACTTTAACTACTTTTCCGAGTGACTTCCACTCAAATTACAAATTACTTTCTCATTTTAGTGGTTGTTTTGCCTATCAACAGAGAACAGAGGTCGGAAGGTCAGCTGATATTTGCAGAAAGGGAAGCATGCGGAGTAGAAAAGGGGGGGATGGGAAGGAAGAAAGTGATTTAGATAGTCCAAAAAACCCCAAAATTTTAACGAGCCCCCCCCCCACTGCAACAACACTGCTACGAGGCGCGGGGAGCGAACAGACACGACGCAAGAGAGGTCGAGTAACTGTGGGATTAGCTCCGAATAGTGGCGTTTCTTTGTATTCCGAAGCTCAAGGAGACTTGACGCATTTGAAGAAAGGGCTTGTCCCCGCTTCTCTCCAATGTAGGAATTCTTGCCCACTACAGGAGGTGCACACACTGCTCCTTTTACGGTGCAGGCGATAGAACCCCTAACAACGACGCTCACGCCGGATGGGCTGCTCGTGTATCACTCGAAGCGCGTTAACCCACCCCCGCGCCTGCGTTCACGCCGCTTCGCAGTGACGGTGTGCGGCTGCTAATTACAAATCTATTAACCCACCTAGCCCCCCCCCCCCCCCCACCCCCCGTACACGCCGCTTTGCGGCGTCCGGTCGGCAACCCAAGCCCCGCTGCCCCCCATGCACTTCCGTAAATAGAGTCGATACGATTTAGTTTAGCGATGTTTCGTCAACAACATTCGTTTTTTTAGTGTTAATGGTAAAAAAGAAATGTAAATATCGCCAAATGCCTCGACAAAACAAAATGCTCGAGAAAAAAATAAAAAGAAGTAAGCCGGCCCACACCATAAATAGAACCCGGGTCTGACACGTATGAGGCAGACATCTCACCACTAAGTTACGCTACCTCTTCGGAAACTCGCATTGCATCCGCTGCCTATGTTGACGGCGGCAGCGCCTATCTCCAAGCAAGCAAGCAAAACTTTATTTTGTGTAAGGGCCTACGTCCTGGTCTGGACGGCCCGTCCGGCCCATGTCTCGCGGATGGATTCCGTAAGGTTACCGTGTAGCCTTGTTCGTGGGGCAAGGCTCCACAAACCAGCCAATCCGGCGTGCGTGAGCACCGTTGCTAGGGTTTGTATCGCCTGCGCGTTAAAAATATGCCCGCGCGGGTCGGGGGGCAGTGCCCTTGGTATTCCTTGGGCGCCGCCGGCCTGTGTCTGCTCTGCCCAGTGGCGGCCGTTTCAGGGGGGGGGGGGGGGGGGGCAAGACGCATGCCTTGCCCCCCCACTCTGAGAACTGGGGGGGCAAGTGCCCCCCTTGCCCCCCCGGTTGGTACGCCCATGCGCGCTCAGCATTCGCGCGCACAGCTATGGCCGCTATGGAATACTACTACTTACCGCAAAGACCACGCTAAATCAATAAACACACACATACAAAGAAAGAGTAGAATAAGAAACGCTATTGTGTCTACTTTCCCGTGGAGCAGTAAAGCAGTACGAAATATAGGCTGCCTTACGCACGTGTCTCTTGATAACCACCGGCGTTTACTGCCCCAGTTTTTTTTTTTCTTTTTTTAATGTTATTGAAACATTTTTTTTTTTTTTTACAGTCTAAGTTAAGACGTTGTTAGGGCCGGTTTGCTAGAACAGCGTCTCAGCTGAGACTGGGAGAAAGAAAGCACTGCTGGGTAGCTAAACTCGTCGAGCACAACTTTGTGTCCGAAAGTTGCGAAACGCACTAATTGGACTCTCGCGACGCTGACGTCAAGCAGAGCGAGGTGTCAATCATCCAAGCTCTCTCGGTGCTCAAATTCCAGCGAGAACGTAAATCAAAAAGTCGTAGCGAGCTCCATCGAAGCGCGTGCGAGCAACACCGTGGTGCTAGCCGATTGAACGGCTGCACTGAATGACGTCTCGCCCGAGTGTCCCTACATCCCTACGCCGCGTTAGAGTCAATGATGCGTAGATTGTACCTAGGCGGCCGGTAAATACTCTGAACTTTCTCGTCGCAAGATCGTCGTTTGTGGAAGTTAGTGCCACTAAATAAGCTACGCTTCAGAGTAACGACACTTGGCCATATTGTGGCTTAAAATCATGGTTGCCAGTTATCTGAAGCTTTATCTGAAATCACAGGAAATGCTTTTCCGCCCTCCACAAATGTTTAAACCGTTCGCGACAGAGCAAAGCAATATTACACGACCTTCCTAACACAGAATCTAATGCTGAGGAAGTCTCACTTTTGAATCATGGCGATCGGCCGTTGCGTCTGTTCTGCATACGAGCCAAAATGGCGGCACCAATAACTTCCACTAGAGCCACTAAATAAGCGCAGCTTATTTAGTGGCTCTAGTGGAAGTTATTGGTGACGACAAAGTGACGTTTCACAACTTTGGGAAGGAGTTATTTGAGGCCAATATAGGGGAATCGGTGGCCGAGTGGTCTAGCGCACACCAGCTCGGAGCACGTGGAGCGAAAGCTCGCGCTGCAGAACCCAGGGATCCTGGGTTCGAGCCCCACCCCTGCCCGTTTCGATCTGGATGAGCATCGTACTGGCGTGCGGTCGTGTATCACTACTGCGTGGTGCACGTTAAAGACCCCAGGCTAGCGGCTGTACCGCACTGGCGGTACAGCCGGTACAGCTGGGAGGCTCGTCGCCCCTGTGAGGCAGACCAAGTTCTAGGCTGTATAAACACACACACAACCCCAATTGAGGCCAAAATCTTCGCTTCGGAATCGAGGCAAAGATTGAACTTTGTGATGTTGTGGAGCCGTGCGCGGTGTACGCGGGCGGCTTTATAGAGCTCATCTTCCGCCACTGTCAACAACGCCACCGGGGTCATCCACAGGCGGTTTGTGTAGAGACGTCGGTAATGTCTGAGAAATAAGGGAAAACAAAGGATAAAAAAAAAAGCCGAAGAAAGGGAAATAAAAAAAAAATTAAAGACGTTTACAAACTTTGTAATGCGAAATCAGAGCTCAACTCTTGAGGAGGAATAAGGGACGGTACGGAGAGGAGGGTATGCCCCTCCTCCTCCCCTCTTTCTCTCCTCCCCTCTTCCTCCCATTCTGTTTCTCCGCTAAATTTAGCAGGTGAAAGGACATCACATGGCAATCTAGCGGAGAAGTGAATTGGCGTTGAAGTCACGTAGCTGGGAATTGAATTGGTGTTGAGGCCATGTGACGTCAATTTCGCGCTAAATTTAGCGGGCCGGTTACGCCGATGGCGACGCCCACGCCGCGAAACCCGGAAACGGGCGCCGAAGAGCTGCGCTCTAAAGAAAGAATTAAGGTACGACCAACATACACAGACACACACACACACACGCACAAACAAATATGAGTCTCAAGAAGGGCCGTAGAAATTGTTCGGGAGAGAGAGAGAGAGAGGAGGTGATGGTGGTGAAGAAGGGAGATATTCCTTTCCCCTAATATTTTATTATAACTCTCTGAAATGCTATGGTGGTTCGGGGCTGGGGCGGTACCCCCCCCCCCCCCCCCCCTCCACCCTTATGCCCCTTGCCCCCTCTTTCGACGCAACTGGGGGAGGGGGGGGGGGGGCTAAATCCCCCCTTCCCCATCCTCGTGTTTCGACGACCCTGCTTATAGGTGTTCCAATGAGCAATGACGAGGAACAACAGCACAGCCTGCAATATTCGAAATAACGGTTCAAGAGATTCTGGAATTAAAACGGCTCGCGTTCCATGAACTCAAGAGTGGCCATGACAGACTTTCAAGCGAAAGACTCGTGCCAGGGCACGTATATAGTGTGCGGGCGCGTTCAGTGACGTCATTTTATAGTTGATACCTTTGACGATGGAGTCAGGATTATCAGTTGTGAACGAAAAATTTGATGGTGCGTGTTCAAATCGACGATGTCAAGTTTCGTCTCCTTGCGTTGTTGAAGCATCACCGCCAATATTGACAACCTGACATTACTTTTATTTCCTTATTTCCGTTGATGAACATACTTAATCCCAAACTGACTGATCTTCGAATGTCTACTATAAAATGATTTTATCCCGCCGATGAAGGGACAACTGCCCGGAAGCGAAATTCGCCCGAAAGTGGACAACGGTAGTCGGCTGGTTGTGACCTAGCCACGTCGGGCTACACTTTGGCCAGATTCGATAAATCAAAAGAACGGCAGGGACGCTGTTTAGTAAATTTTGCTTTATCGGCGGAAATAAGAACGATACCAGACTATCAACTTCGACGGTGTTGATTTTAAAATGCAATTCCCAAGCATCCATGGTGCTTTTTAGAGACCATCAAGCATGACTGTCGCAGCTGATAATCTTTGTTGTGACGTCACACGTATGAGCCACGGTCGTCACCGCGCTCTCTAGTGCTGCTCTTGTTCGGTGCCTAGGGAGGCGTAGGGATTTTTCGTCCCCTCAACGAAAAACGTCACGAAGACAGACGGATCTGCGGGTTTGTGAGAAAAGAAAACTCCGCAGCAATCTTTCGGCTCCTCCCTCCACTATGTCATAACACAAAGAATATTTTTGTTGACGAGTTTAGCTACCCTGGTATCTATCGGCGTCCTCGTGAGCACTCCATTCAATAAAGTATCTGCACCCAGGGGCTCTGAACTCGTCAAACACAAAGTTGAGGCCGAAGCCTTGACGGAGCGCGCCGATTGGTTAGGTGATGACTTGGCGCTTATGTCGCCAGCGTCCGGTCGGCGCGCTCTGCGAACCTTTGGCTCCAGCTTTGTGTTTGACGACTTTAGGGCCCCTGATATCGCTGAAACGCTACGTCAACTGAGACGGTCAAAAATCAAAATACCAATTGTAAAAATTATTTTCAATTTTAGTTGTATAATAAGGTTTATAGCCTTTTTAGTTCTCTTGCATCAAACCATTAGGCGATATATTTATTTAGAACACGTTTTTCACTTCACAAGTTTTGTCTCGAAAATTTTTTCGGAATATTTTTGTACCGGTGGAAAGAAAACGAAGTTACCTACTTCCTTTGCTGGACTGACGAAGGATCTACCAGGTTCCGAAACCTTTCTTGATTTTACTTTCGCCACAGAAGATCCTTGCGATCTAAGGACAATTTTATTAGGGCTCGCGTACAGTTCGAATGTACAGTACAGCCGCAGCCATGGGCGTACCAACCGGGGAGGAGGGGAGGAAGGGGTGGGGGGGGGGGGGGGGCAAGGAAGCGCTTTCCAATGTGTAAGAAGCCTCGCAACCCTTGTACAGTGGGTAGGTGGCGCAACCTGCCGTTCAAATGAAGACAGCTTGTTGTTTTGTTGTAAAAATAAAGCTACACCTACTCAAGTTTAATTTTGCATTGTTTGCTGTTTATTAACGATTACGTTACAATCAAGCCAAATTTTAATGTCTTAATGTAAAAAAAAAAAACTTGTCCGGGTATGGTTTGCCACATTCGGCGATTTCAGAGCAGCCGTTTGCACACAATGGGCGTCCGCCATTTCGCAGATCTTCGCTTTATTTGCGATTGCGTGCTGTGTTAGCTGTGTCGCAAATTTGCGTTGTTTCAGGAGCTCACATTTTCTGAAAAATGGGCAGGTCACGAAGCCGAAGTAAGAGCAGATCTCCTAAACACAGGCATAAGAACAAGCGGCCCAGGAAACGCTCCCATTCTAGGGGACGGAGCCGAGACAACACCAATAGGGCTGGGGCGGCGAAAATCAACAACGACCGAAGGCCGAGGTAGAGTCCCTCATTTCCGTTTCATGCAGTATATTTCTGACTGTCGATACCGTAACCGTTTCTGCTTTCCATGCTGTTTTGACGAGCTAGGACGTCTCAGTGGCTCACATTTGCTTATTTGTTGGATATCAACGCTTTCGGGTTTGTTGGTAACCTGAGGCTGTCTCGGGGGATTGAGTTGTAGCCTAGATAGTGTTTTTTTTTTTTTTTTTTTCGTTCGTTGAAAGCGATGGATTCCTTTCACGTTGCTTAACATGTGTAAATAATTGTCGCATAAGCGTCCAAGGGTCGTATTCTGCCGTAAGGAGCTGGAGCGCTGTTATGTGAGTAACAGCTCGACCTTTCACCTTCACCGAACTGCGGCATATGTGCTTACGCGTATCCCCTTTTTCCGTCTGTGCTCAAGGCGGCGGTCATCTTCGGGGTCAAGCAGCAGCAGCGATGATATCGACGGCCTGCTGGACTCCGCGAGGCGGAGAGTCAAGAGGGTCGGCGAGGTGGACCGTCTCTCCGAAGTGGAAAGGCAGCGGTAAGGGCTCACAAAATATACAACTGTCGGTAAGCTTCGCAGCACAGGTCGTTTTCTAGAGAGATTGCGCCCCACAGAGTCAAGCGTTGGTCAAATACTGGACGTCTGTGTGATTGTTTAACAGAATCATTTTCATTGATTTTTCATTCATTCACAATATTATTTTCATTGATACCATATACGATAAACGACTTGGTTTTAACGAGGACTTAATTTTTGGGTTTAGAAAATTGGTTGCGCGAACAAATCGTGCGAATTGGCAATATTTCAGGAGCAATATTGAAACGCTTTGTTCAGTTCAGCGTCCGCACCAATGTGTGAAAGCATACATCACTAGAATTGCACATGTTTCTGTGCAATTCAATCAGTGAATCCCTCGGCAATATGGCGCTGAGCTCTTTATCTACGCTCGGGGTAAGAGTGTATACGAATCTTCTACAGTGGAACCCCTCAACGACGAAAGCCCTCAAGAATGAAATTCTCGCGGCAACGAAGAAATCTGGCGGCCCCGGCAAACGTCCATAAAGTTTCAAATGCACTTGCACCCTCTCAACAGCGAAGAGTTTTTAAAAAGCAGTCCCGCATTAACGGAAGTCTGAGTTGGTGATCTGCAACATTTTTTCGGCACACGAGTCATTGGGAACCCAGAAGTATGAACACGAGTCAGTTGGGAACCCAGAAGTATGAAAAGTGGAGCAATGAAAAGTGACCATTGGCGCGGCCATTGCTGTTTACGTTCGGTCGGATAATGATGACGATTGCAACGACATTGTTTTTGTTTTTTTTGTTTTTTTTGGTCGCTGAAAACAGCGTTTTGCTAGCCCATCTGTTGGCAACTACGTAGGTATGTGACGTTTCACGTGACGACACCGCCGGCTGCCCGCTGCCATTTCGCCGCCTGCACACCGAGATCGCTCGCGCCTTGTTTACTACCTTTTGTTTGACCTGTCGGAAAGATGTCGCCTCCTGTTAGAAAGCGTTTTTGACTCTTCAGGAGAAATCTGCAATCGTCGCCAAAGCTGCGAAAGGCAAAAAGAAGTCGGATATTGCGGAGGAGTTCAGTATCCCGTGCAGCTTACATTCTATGATTCTAAAATCCTAGGACAGCATTAATTTTGGTTCTGGAAAGTTTTTGCATTTTCGCAACATCAAAATTCTCGCGAGAACAAAAAACAATTTCCTTCCCCGGCAGCTTCGTTATTGCGGGGTTTGACTGTAGATGAACAGGGAAGCGTATCTTTTTGATCATGCATGGCATTACTCCCCCCTTTAGAAGTGCATCGAGCCTCAATGCAACACAAAACAAAACAAAAAAATGGTAATCTAAATAAAGTCCTTGGAAAAACTAAAAGTCCTCCGTACTACCGAGCGTAGAAGGGCTTGAGTTGAACAATGTGAACCACCTCGGGTCGTGGTCGCTTTGTGATGATGTTTGCATTTCGTCAAGCACCACTTCATTGTTGAGCTCCCCAATGCGACTAAGTACCTTGTACGGTCTGAACTGCTAGCCTTGAATCCTGAGCCGGGCGAGCTGGCAGATGTCTTAAGCACGTTGAGCAACCACCTGGGTGTCGTCGCTCCAATCGTCAGCTGGCCCGTGGGGCAGCATTGCGTCCTGCATGTTCCTTAATTTCCGACCAACTACCAGCTCGAAAGGTTTTTTGAACTGCCGTGTTGTGGGCAAACGTGACGTAGGGTAAGACCCCGTCCCACGTCTTGTGCTCCACTTCGACGTACATGGCAATCATTTCGGTGATGGTCTTGTTTAGCCATTTCGTCAGCCCGTTCGTCTGCAGATGGTACGTCATTGTTCGACGATGGCTGGTGTGGCTGAACCGGAGGATCTCCAGAGTTAGCTGTGTCAAAAACAATAATGCTCGATCTGTAATCAGTACTTCGGGGGCACCGTGCCTGAGGATGATGGCCTTGACGAAGAACTTGGCTACTTCCACAGTGATTCCCGACAAGAGTGCTTTTGTCTCATCGTACCTTGTGAGGTAATCGGTTGCGACGATGATCCACCGGTTTCCTTGTGTCAATGGTGGGAACGGTTGAAACAACTCTATTCCAATTCGATGGAACGGTGTAGTCAGGGGAGTGATTGGCTGCAGGAGTCCTGTCGACTTCGTCGGTCATTTCTTGCGTTGTTGGCATTTGCAGCCCGATTGGATGTAGAGGTGGACAGTCTTCGTGAGCTCGGGCCAGTAGTATTTTTCTTGAAGTACGTGCAAGTGTTCTGTAGCCCAAGTGCCCTGCCGTCGGATCATTATGGCTTGCTTAGAAGACTTCCGCTTGAAGAGTTGCAGGGATAACCAGCAGCCACGTTGAGTTGGTGCTGCCAAAGTATTTTTTGTACAGTATGTTTTCTCGAAAAGGAAGGTTGTCAGGGATTGTGCGAAGATACGTGGAACTGCACTCCCTCGTCCCTCCAGATCTTCGATGAGTGCACGCGGCTCAGGATCGACTCGTTGAAGTGCTGCCATGTTGTTTATGGTCACCGCGCCGACAAAAATGTCGTCACCGTTTCTGTCGTTGGTGCTTAGACACCAACTCATCGGGTGCCCTTGACAAACAGTCGGCGTTCCTGTGCTTGCGACCGGACCTTGTAGACCACTTTCACATCGAATTCTCAAAGTCGAAGACTCCACCGGGCAAGACATCCTGAGGGATCCTTCAGGTTTGTGAGCCAACAAAGCGAGTGGTGGTTTGTGACTACTTGAAACGAGCTTCTGTACAGCAGTGATGTGATTGCTGTGCTACATCCTGCTACATTTTGCCAAAATAAGAGTAATCTGCGCCAAGCCTGCGCCAAAAAACCAATTTTGGTCGCTTTTCGAAACCTAAACTAAACTGAGTACCATAATGGAGCATGCGTGAGCTAGGTAGCGCAAGCGGCCGCCCGACACAAAGTACCCTACATTAATGGTCCATTTGGTGTTGCATGGTTTTTCCCGCCGTCTCTCGTTTCGCGCTCTCGTTGTCCCGTAAGTCTGGTCTCGCGCAGTGTTGTCGAATTGTGGGAAATTTCCCATATTGTGGGAAAAAAGGGAAACCAGAATTTAAACACTTGTAAAACGTGGGAAATATCTTTTAATACGAAACTAAACCAAAATTTTGTAATTTTCTTGTCTACATCGAACAAGAGAAAGGAAGTGGCACTAGCCAGCAAAGCAATTTGCTGTTTTGAAGAGCCAACCTAATTTATCACGACTTACATCATGTGCGTGCTGCAAGCCTGCCGGTACAGTACTGCCGGTTCGCACGCTTTTTTCACCGCTAGCTACGCACACTAATCCTCTGTCAGTGCGATAGATCATGAATCGCATCACGAAAACGAGCAGGCGATTTTAGTTTAGTTTAGTTAATGGCCCGCTTGCCTTTATTCAGCTCCCCTGGTTCATTCAACCAATGCTTAGTGCAGAAAAGAAGGAGAGGGGAGACCAGTTTGCCGAATGCCAACTACATTTCGTAATTTATGCAATGCATACTTCTGCATAACAAAAACATAGGGGAGCTGTTGGTGCATTTAAATATACTTGGCGTCATGTGTATCTTAAAAACAACTTCTGTCACTAAAATGGTGTTGTGAGAAAAAAGGGAATTTTCGCCGCTTGGTGAGGGAAAAACCGAAGTGGCAGTGCGGCAACACTGGTCTCGCATATTTTTAAAACGTTTTCAACGATAGACGCGGGCATGTGTGGATGTTGCGACGGTAGCGTACCGTGTACCAGGCCAACCAAGCCGTCACACTGTAAAACGGAACCGCGTTTTTGCGCGGTGGGAGTTACTTTGTGAGCTCAAGCACGCGCTCCTGAAAACAACGGCCGTTGGAAAACTATATTTGATCTTTGCCTGTCAGTCACCGTGGTCGCGCAACGTTGGGCGTTGCCGTCCCCACGTCACTGCAGATGTGGCGCTTTCTAAACTGAAATGTAAGGACTGCCGCATGTTCATCAACATTTCTGTTCTTTTTTAAATCATACGCTACTACAAGAATCCCTCTTTAACTCAGTTAGCTGTGTCAAAGAATTGATTACCTAGGTTTCTCTTGGTAGGTTTCTTTTCGAGAGGGACCCCGGTACGTGAAAAATCTCCCGCGGAAGAAAGTGGGTGAAGAGAAGTGAGCTAAAACAAAGAAGGCGAGGAATGCACGCTGAACCCGCACAGCACGCTTGTTTGTTTCGATCTCGGTCGTTGCACAAAGAGCTCCAAGTGCTTTTTGACCCTGGCTCGCGATGTCGTGCATCGATGCGCTCAGGTTCTGTTTTTGTGTGTGTTTAGCATGTACCTTGTTTGCCCACCTGGCAAGCACGTGCCACTGGACGTTTTTGTCGTATGCTGGACAGTTACACTTTGCATACAGTTCTGGGAACAAGTTGGCAACGGAGCGGAGTGGCATGGTTTCAGTCGAACAGCCATCATATCCACTCACGCGATGAAGCACATGCAACTGCAAGCCTGCTGAAGTTGCCCTCATGTGCATGCGAATGTGACTGCACAACAGAGGCATCGGCTGGGACGCTTGCAATCTATTGTTTTATGTTTGCTTACTTCTGACAAAAATCTGGCACCAGTGAAACGGCAGTGTTGTGTTGCACCGAAGTGCCAAAGAACAGAAGCTCCCCCTCAGAGGAACAGCGCACAGAGAACAAATTTAATATGGCGAAGACACGTTTTTAAGGGCAAAGACCAGCGCACCCTGGTGGTGAGAATAAGAACTGGTTACATTGCTTTATGCATACACAACACTCCTCCACACTTACATAAAGGAACACTAGTACACCAGTCTATTCGACCGTCGAACTTCCTGAGCAGCTAGGTCGCTGTCAGCATTCAGTGGCATAGGCACCTTACATTTGCCTGGTTCATCAACACTCTCACTGTCACTCGATCCACTCTCCGAAGAGGCTGATCGGGACGAGCCCTCACTTCGAAAGCGCAAGTGATCAGCATGCACATAACGAATCTGGTTAGCCACCCGCACCAGGTATGTAACCGGA